GGTCCGGATTTCAAGCTAAACGGTGGCCCTATCTGCTAGCCACAGATAGGATAATGGCTAAGCGCCCCGTCAGAGGGTCGCAGGCGAGGGATGTGGGGGCTGCCTAGTTTTCCCGAAAAGGGGGCTGGGTGGTGGTAAAGGCCATGCTGACGGAGCAAGTGACAGTCTATTCGGGTGGTAGGGATGGGCCTTGTCAGCTCCATCTACCAGCTGGATCGAGCTCCCGATGACGCGCTGTGAGTCTATTTCGTGACAGTGGGAAACTAACACAAGTGTGAGCAGCATCATCCTAATGCCAACTCAAATTAATAAAACATTGCGGTTGCCAACCTTGTTGGTCAAGTGTGGCAACTATGGCAAAATGTCCCTGTAAGGGGCATTTTGCCATAGTAACATGAGGAAGGCCTATGTTCACCGGTACACTATTAGACTCTGTTATATATGGATACAAGACCTATTGCATCTTTGACGCTGCTGCCGGTCGCAGTAATTTTACGCCAAGTGTAAAAAATATGGTGGTACCACCATTTGTCAGAAGCTATATGATATTTTTCTGGCATTTAATCAAAGTCTCACACACCCACGGAACATGGTTAAGTAAATTTAGGTAATGTATGATGTCCTGCACACCGAAATTCGGTCACGGCGGCCTGTCTAAACGGATACTAACCATCTGCGCAGGACAGGATTATAGCGTCTAAAAGCAGCCTCTAGTCCCCCGCTATCAAACTCCGATCGGTTATCCCACACTGCTACTGAGACTTCAAATAACGCAGTGCGTTCAGTCAGCTGGAAATAACGATCCTCGAGACTGACCATTTCAACTTCACACTTACACTCAATATTCAAAGAAGCATGATGTTCTGAGGTAAGAAAAACATACGATTATGTTTATAAATAATATGATTTCGAAATCACCTACAAATGGGAATGTGGAACTTACAAATGAGTTATTATAATAAAAAAAGTTTATTTTTCAAATGAAAAGCCGTAGTAGCGCAGAGATACGTAAGCTAAGCTAACCGGGTTCGATTCTTATGGGTATCAGTAAAATTTTAATAGCAGTTTAAAGTGTTTTACCATGTGTTCGACGGTGAAGATAAACTGCATGTCTGATGTTTAGGCCAAATAGGGGCATTTGAAATTTGCATCCAATAACGTTTGACTCGGCGCGTCATCCGATGGTATTGAGGTGACGTAAACGCCGCGAGGGGGGGAGGGGGGGGGGGGGTATGCCGCTTCCCGGAATTCGACCGCGTGGGCCGGCAACAGTGTCTTGAACAACAAGTTGCTAGCGACCTCAGTGTCGATGATACGGTTAAGGTCCGCGCGCGGAGCCTCCTCTGAATAGTTATATTTGAAGTTGTCTAATCTCGAGCATTTTTGTGTGACAACGAGGCTGGTCTCATATTATTATTGTTATAACCGTTTTGAGTATTGTTTGCGACCGTTAGTAGGTTAAGCGCGGCCGGTGTTGATTTAGACGGTCTAAGATTTTGAGTTAATTGTGCGGGTAGTTTTGAATTTTCTATTGAATATTTGGGTCTCGTTAAGACCGCCTCGAATGGAGTTGTCTGTTTTGAGCGTTACATGAAAAGAGGCCTAATTTGATTTTTGAGTGATTAAATTAACTGATTGCCATTAATTTGCATAGACAAGTTGTTTGTGCATCATTTAGATGATAAGCGTGATAAGACTTTTTTAGGAGAACGCTGAACTCTGTGCCTCGAGAAGATACCGCGTTCGTTCTCGTGATTATAATTTTGTGCTAAGTGAACCTAGGACATTGAACCTGGACCGACCGTTCTTAAGTTTGCAGCGTGTCACTTGTTTTAATTTCGATGAACGTTGATTTGGTTGACTTTGAAGTTAATTAAATGTACAATAAAGTTGTTGAACTAATATAATGAAATAAAGCAGAAGGTTTCAATTGCTGAACGCCACCCTGGAGGGATCGCACATTTGGAGAAAAGCAGCGCCTGTGGATCTACTGTCCGACTACATCGGTTAAGTCAGGTTACATTTACACACTACTACACACTACTTACATACACAAAACGTACCACCTGACTGATACCCTGTGGTCAACCCTACCTCCGGAAATCGGTAAGTTTTATTTGCTTGTCAGCTGTTTTAGAACATTTATCCATAGGCCAATGGGCCCCGCCCTCTATTGCTCGTCGAGGGGATCACTCATGGGCCCTGGTCCAGTCGACCTTTGTCGGGGCAACTAAGGGCGTGAACATCTGAGAAAAACAAAACTGAAGTCTTGTAAAGTCTGCATGCACGCATTGTGCGTCGGACATTTCCTTGCACTAAAATACAATATACCCTAATGTACGTGGCACTATATACCCTAATGTAGGTGGTAGAGCCACGTGGTGTTAGAGCTATATTATGATTGTAGCACGAATGAGTCGGCTTGACCGGGGTAAGACCACTCTCTCACATAATTTTTATACGTGGTAGAGCCATGCTGCAGCTATATTAGTAGTATAGTTGTAGCACGAATGGGTCAGCACGACGTGGGAAGGGCCACGCTCTCACAGAATACCTGCGTAAAATAGCAGCTTAACACTGCTGTGTATTGTATAGTGAGTGTAGAGAACCGAAAAACCTTGTTACTGGAAAAGAGGCATTCCATCTTAGTCCTCACGGGTGCATTTTGATTCTTTATTAAGGATAGATGTAGATGTCTATAGGTCACAGTAACCACGTAGCATCAGGTGAACTGTGTGCTCGTTTGTCACCCTATTCTATATAAAAAAGAACTTAATGCTACTGTGTTGCCTACGATGAGTATAAAGAACTGGAGACCCATTTTACTAATAACGTAGTATTCAATCTTATTCTTGAACGCTGACAAAGCATGTGCATTTTGATTTTAAATCGAGGACAAATTTAGATTTCATTGGGTCACACTTTCCACTTACTTATCTACTTATTATCAGGTAGTTTGTGTCTTGTTTGTCACACTTATTGTATAAAAAAATTGATTTTTTAAGAATAGCCACTACCCGATATCGTGCCTTGGATGTCGTAAGAGGTAACAGAGGGGAATTGAAACAAGTGATGGGCATCAGCATTTTCCTGATAACAACTGAAATTATTAAAAACTACGGTTACCCATGGCAAAATCCCCTCTATGAGGCAATCTGTGGTGGGGGTTTATTTTCGGCAGTGGAATTTTAATGACAGTTTGTTTAGTTTAGTTTAGTTTACGACGGGCTGTTTTCCGCAACTCCACGTCTATGCGCGTATTTTGCGTGTGGGCAGGAATAATGTGATTATTCGAGCCATGAGATCTCCCCAAAGAAGCTCAACAGTCCCTTGATGTTGCATGCAACTTCGGGTAGTGATCCCGGCGTGCCGAGATGTTTAGCCCTGTACGTAGTGACCTCCGGACATTTCAGTAGCACGTGGGCCGCCGTTTCTTCCTCCCCCATACATGCCCTGCACAAGGGACTATCTGTAACACCTATAGTAAATAAATGTTTGTTAAAGGTGCCGTGTCCTGTGATAGCACTTGTTACTATCCTGACCTGTGGCTAGTTCAGTCTCATTAAAACTTTGGTTAAGCGACTGATTATTTCAGGCAGGGCCGCCCTAGCTTGTCTACAGTCTACTAGATTTTTCCAAAGCTAAGCGTGTTGATTAGTAAAGTGTCTACGTACCAGTGAACGAACGATACCAAAGGTGATTGGTACGATTAATTCCGACCCTATAGTGGCCAGAGCCGATCCTCTTCTGGCCAGTTCGTCTACTGCATCGTTGCCTCTGGATCCACATTGTTGTTTTTACATACCTCATTTAATCGTGGATGGCATTCATATATTAGTCCCGAGTTCACCTCATTGCAACTCAGAGCTTGTAGTACCGCACTACTGTCGGTCAGTATTCTGATGGGGAAGTCCATACCTTCCTAGCATCTATAGCTATGGCCGCTTGAATGATACCCATTAATTCCGCCTGAAAGACCGTGTTATAGGTACCCAGCGGTGTGCATATGTGAATATTGTGGTCTTCAGAGAAAGCTCCAGAACCTACACCTTCATTTGTTTTAGAATCATCGGTGAAAACTCTAAGCTCTTTTGGGCTTAATCCTTCCGGCTGGCTGTTTTCATTTAATTGTATCTTATATTTCTTATCGAAAACAAATCGTTTAGGAACCTTATCGTATTTGGCTTGTAGGATAGAAATTTTTGAGTGAATTCTATCAATTATGCCTGTATGAGGGACACTATTATTACTCCAAAGATTTAGGGTCTTGAGTCTGATCTGCAGCATCTGCAGCTAAAGTCGCTTCTTGTTGTATATGTAGATGAAGCGAAGTTAGCTCCGGCATCGCTTCTAAGGCTGCTGTTGGCGTAGTTCTTATGCAGCCTGTGGCAGCCATACATGCTAGTCTCTGGTAGCGCTGAAGCTTCTTAATTGTGGTGGCTTCATTTGTCTTGGTCCACCACACCAGAGCGCCGTATGTGATCATGGGCTGAATTACAGTTTTGTAAAGCCACAGTATGATTTTTGGCGTCAGTCCCCATCTTTTTCCAATCATGTTTCTGCATTGCCAGAAAGTTATACTAGCTTTGTTGATTTTGTTTTCTATGTGTTTATTCCAGTTAAGTTTTCTGTCCAAGGTAAGACATAAATATTTTACCTCAGAGGATAGCTGGAGTTTAGAGCTGAAAAGACTTGGAAAATGATAGTTATTCAGCATTCGTTTTTGTGTGAACATTATTAAAACCGTTTTATTTGGATTGAAGGTTAAGTCGTATTCCCTGCACCATCTCTCAACTATACGGAGAGCCGCTTGGGTCAGGTCGCACACTATGCTTGCTGTCTTTCCAGAGACCAGTATTGTCAGGTCATCAGCATAACCTACTGTATAGAGGTGATTGGCATTTAATTTGCTGATGAGTTCATTAATGACCATATTCCACAGGAGAGGTGAGAGAACCCCACTCTGCGGGCAGCCTTTCTTAATTTGGATTGGTTGAGATTCACGAGCAATCTTTATTATTCATGTAAACTATCCAGTCAATCAGTGCCGGTTCAAATTTATGTCTACTGAGTGCACCTTTTATGCTGGAGAAGTTCGTTCTGTCAAAAGCACCTTCTATATCTATGAAGGAACCTAGACATATTTCTTTGATTTGGATGGCCTCTTCAATCTTTGTAGTTACCTGATGAAGTGCCGATTCTGTAGATTTGCCTAGACTGTAGGCGTATTGCTTGTCGTGTAGTGGTAAGTTCATTAGCGCCGACCCCCTTAATTCCCTTTCACACATCCTCTCCATCGTCTTTAGGAGAAAGGATGTGAGACTAATGGGCCTGTAGGATTTAGGGTCAGTGTAGTCGCTCTTACCTGGTTTGGGTATGAATGTGACTTTCACTTCCCTCCATCCCCTAGGAACATATTTAAGAGCCAGACAGGCTCTCATTATGGCAACAAGTCTGACTATTAGGGCTTTTCCCCCACACTGTAGGAGAGCCGGGAATATGCCGTCAGGTCCTGCCGTCTTATAGGAGAGGAAACTGTGAATTGCCTCTTTTTCGTCCATCGTTACCACTCTCTGTGCTAAATTCCAGACTTCTGCTGTTGGTGTCAGTATATCGTCATGCCGGTTTGCCTCCTGGGTTACGCAGCAACCTGGGAAGTGCGTTTCAATTAGTGTGCGTTGGGCTTCATCCGGGGATGTTGAGTAGCTACCGTCAGGTTTCTTTAGAGACATGGATCCCGACGTGTACTGTAGCTAGAATATTCCTTATCCTATTTGCTTGTTCGCAGGTTTCTATGTTGCCACAGAATTTACGCCACCCAGTCGAGCGTCGATACCTGATACATTTTTTGTATTCAGACTTAGCTTTCTTATATAGTAGCCAGTCTTCATCAATTGAAGTATTCATGGCCCTATTTAGGGCTTTTCTTACCTTCTTACGTTTCCTATCGAGTTCTTTACCCCACCACCGTTGCTTTACCTCGGCATGCCTAGGTGGAGTGATTTCTGGACATGATCCATGGTAGCTGTCTGTCATGGCCTTAGTAACAGCTGCTACCTGTTCTTCTAGGAGCGATTGATCTGCTATAGTATTTATCCCCCCAAAACCCGCGAGCGAACACGTCAGCCTATTTAGGTATTTTGTTTTATCCGTCTTGCGGGGATTTATCCATGGTGGTGTAGAGGGGATATCGACCTGTAGTGCGAAGCAGATCCATTTATAGTCTGAGCATGAGGCCTCTTTCGACACATGCCATCCCGTAATTAGTTTGGCTGCTCCTTCTGTTGCAAGTGTGAGGTCGATTATAGAGCGACAGCGTTTGTTTATGAAAGTAGGTTCATAACCTATGTTTAAAATGGTAAGGTTAGTACTAAATAAATATTCAACTAAAACCTTACCTCGTTCATTTGGTTTTTCCATTCCCCAAAGGGGATGATGTGCGTTGGAGTCCGTCCCGATCACAACCTCTAGTCCGGTCCTCTCTTAGAAGTTCACCAGCCTGCCGAGGTCATGAGGGGAAGGAGTGTCTTCCTTCAGCTTGTAGACCGAGGCGACGACTAATCTTCTCTCCTGTGTGTATTGTATATCCACGGCATACATGTCTCTAGAACAGAAACCTGTTAATGGTTGTGCACAGATATATTTAGTAGTGTAAATACACGCTCTAGGCTTGTCGTGGTCAGAGCTGTAGAATAGCTTACCTTTTAGGTTGTTTCGGCCTTTAATTTTACCAGCCCCAACCCACGGCTCCTGGATTAGGGCTATGGAAGTCCTTTGAACCTCCAACCACTTGCGTAATTGAGCCGACGCAGTTTCTCTGTGGTGGAGGTTGGCCTGCACTAGGCTAGTTTTGGACAAAGGGCACGCCATCATTAATCGCGTCCTCCCCGTGCCCGCCCAAAAATAGGCCTGCCAGAAGATCTCGGGTCTCATCGTCAGCCACCGAGTCGGAAGTGGTCGGCAAAATGCAGTCCTCTTCGTCACTCAGTAAGCTGCCGCTGAGCCTGATCTCCACTGGGGGCTTCGGCTCAATTGTGCAGGCCGTTTTTTCACTGCACTTGGCCTCCAGTGATTCCGTTGTACCGGTAACCATGGCTCCGGTATCCATAACTTCCGGGTTGTTTTCTACCTCTTTGCTCGGTGGAGTGTCAAAGGATTTACCTCCACGACCCTGGAATTTTACGTATACCGCCCCGCATACACATGCGAGACGGCGTCCGGCCTTCATCAGTGTAGGGATATGATCCTCCGGCACCGAAACAACGAGGAACCACCAGTCCGTCTGCTTATCAGCCTTAATTAACAGCCACTCCCTGATGTTAACCCAGCGGTTCTGGTACGCCAGCACGCGACCAGTGTCGCGTGAGTCTTTCCAGGCTCCTTGGGCATCAGGGATAAGGATACCACATTTGACTCTTTGTGGTATCTCTTACTGTTTCTTTATTGTCAGCAAGGTGTTGGATTTAAGGTCAAGGGTAGCAATATTCCCCTTCAACCAGTCCAGAGCCTTCTGATAGCCGCACCACAGTTTCAGGACACTCTCCGTATAAACGGGTTTGCCCCTAAAAACTGGGCCCGACGCATCAGGGTCCTGGCTACTCCAGGCCTCGCTGATCATCTTCCTCTGTATTGACAAGAGGATGTCGTCTGCTACTTCCTTCCTAATGTGACCTGAACGCGCAAACGTTAAGGCCACACCCAAATCTGCTTTAGCAGCGGAAGCGTAGCTCGTTCTTGCAGCCTTTGGTTGCTGTTCGAGTCGCACTTTTTTGTGTTCCCCTCTAGGCGGGGTGGATTCTTCCAGCATCCTTTTGACTGTTCTTTCCTTCTTCCCAGGATGCTTGGCCGCTCGCTGCTTCCTGGCGGATATCCTAGAGCTGGTTCCCGCGGCCGCGACTTCCACTTGGGCTGGATTTTTATCCTTTCCAGCTTCAGCACGGCTACTGGTTCCAGCGTCAAGCACCCCAGTCGCAGTAGCTTGCCCTGCCTCCTTGGTTTTAGTTTCGGAAGCAGCCAATGAGGCTCCTTCTCTTCGGCCTTTTTCCCGCTGCTTCTTGTTCTTCTTTTTGGCCTTTTCACTATTGCCTGCAGGGATAGACCCTCCTGATGGTTCGTCAGGTAGGCAAGTCAACTTTTTGGGTGCCTTGCCTTTCCCCTTACGGCTCACCACTTGCCAGGCAGCAGAGAAAAGGTCGTCAGTTCGTAGTGGCTCCGCAGTTTTGTTACTCGCGGGCTCTTGTTCTTTTTTCTCGTCCAGCTCCTTGGAACTGGTTTTAGAAACGTTCAGGAAGGTAGTTGTCCCTTTGGTGGGGGCACCTACGCTGGACGGTACTGTGCGTGGAACCGTCGATTTAGTGACGGTTCCCCCTTGTTCTTTGGTGTCTCTGGTAAGCACCTCTGACACCTATCCCTCTTTCTTATTGGGCCTTAAATTGTCCATAATTTTTTGTTCTTTAAAATTCATCCCCCCGGCTTCCCACCCTCAATGGAGCCCGCAACTTTAGGTACGCCGTACTTTAAAAAATAATTTCAGGCGTCATCCCCACCACCCGAATAAACTGTCACTTGCTCCGGCAGCAACTGGCCTGGCCTTGTGTGCCTTTACTACCACCCAGCCCCCTTTTCAGGAAAACTAGGCAGCCCCCACATCCCTCGCCTGCGACCCTCTGACGGGGCGCTTAGCCATTATCCTATCTGTGGCTAGCAGATAGGGCCACCGTTTAGCTTGAAATCCGGACCAAAGAGGGCGTGTTGCCTCTCGCCACTATATACCCCAGCGACAATCGGCTCAACCCTCCAGGACTCCTTCATCCCCGCGTACGGCGCTCGACTGCGCAGGTCCTAGCGCAGGTGTATGTGTTAGTCCACCGGATACACCCACTCTCTCCGTCGGAACGATCCCCTCCTCCTTTCTCATACGGGCTTGGGACCGGCAATGGCGGAGCTAAATGACAGTTATGGATGAATGGATAAAATTATGTGTACAAGAAAGAATTACTGACGAATAAAGCAGTGCAGAGATGGACTCTACTCTACCTGATAATAAGTGTTTCATCTAAATAATGAAATTGATGTGCTGCACCCTTGCAAAATAAGATGAATTACTTCATTTCTAGTAAGGAAAGGACTTCGGATTTCTCCTTGCATCGTTCGCATGCGACCTTATGACAATCAGCTCTGGCGCCTTCCCGCCCACATCTGTAACGTTTAAGTAAACTTAATGTTGTGATAGATAATAATAGTCGATATTTTTGTTCACATGTAGTTTAATATGCAATAACCGTTACTCGGTAGTTATGTACATGTCAATTACTGAGTCGAGCTTCACCGGGCGTTGCTCGTTCCTTTGTGGACTAGTTATAAATGTTACAGACTGCTTTGTTATGTAAATAAAGTCGTGAGTTATCCAAACATCATGCAGCTGGACGTCGGTCTTATATCTTATGGAGCTAGAAAGATGTTCTGCTCTGTCTCTTTGCGTGACGACTTCCTTGATTTTTTTATTTGTTACGTAGCAAGGCGTAGGTCTTATCTCTTCTGCTCTGTCCCTTTCCGTGTTTTCGTGTGTTTACGTGTTGATGGACTTAACGCTTCCTTGATTTTTTATTAATTTGTTAGACATATCCAATATGAGTTTTCAGCAGTTGCGTTCTTATAGTTAACCACCTATAAATATATATACATACTTTTAACTAATTTATTAATTATAATTATAAATTTTCTTCCTCACATTACTACTCTGTGGAACCGTTTACCATGGGCGTTTTTTTCTGATCGATGCGACTTAGGAACTTTCAAACAACCTTCAACCTTACTCTATTTTAAATTCCCGACAACGTACCTGTAATTCCCCTGGTGTTGCCGCATACTCGTTTGCCTCTATTCCATAAAAAAATAAAATTACGACCACAGATATAATTTTCGATACGTACACATACAAGTTGCCGAGAAAGAGCTATGTTAGTTTAGTTTAGTCACTAAACTAACATAGCTCTGTCTCGGTTGAAATTTACGGCGCACGCCGTAAATTTCACAGTACGTGAGCAATTCGCGTTTGATCCCTTCGGCACTAGTGAAATAGTTAAATTCAATTTTAAGAACTGTTTTACGACATGTTAGAACGGTGAAGAAAAAGATCTTGAGGAATTGTACATGTTTGAGAAATAAATATATTTCAAAGTACTGAGAATTTCAGTGGACAAGTAATGGAAAATGATAGGGCGCCCAACCGTGGGACCAGAGATCAAAAAACAGAAAGGAGTGAAATATGTACGTAAATAATCGTAGTGAACACTACACTAATTTAGTATAATTTACATAGATTCCACAATACACGTCTATGAGCTACGACTGTTGATCTACGAATGACTCTTTCACTGTCTAGCCTTACAGCATTCATAGCAAGAATAAAATACGGTTTTGGCTTTGACTTTCGCAAAAGTCGAATCCATAGTCAATAACAAAGCAGAGTATTTGCCAACCGGATGTTATCGGAAAATATACAAAATGTTAACAACTCGGCCATCCGTATATCAACGAGTCCCTCGTTGTGATTTTATGT